ATGTATGTCATGTATGTCATGTATGTCATGTATGTCATGTATGTCATGTATGTCATGTATGTAATGTATGTAATGTATGTAATGTATATAATGTATGTAAGGTATATAATGTATGTTTGTATGTTTGTTTGTATGTTTGTATGTATGTATGTATGTACGTATGTACGTACGTACGTACGTACGTACGTACGTATTTATGTGTGTGTGTATGTGTGTATGTGTGTATGTGTGTACGCATGCATGCATGCATGCGTGCATGGATGTATGTACTGTACGTTTGCATGCATGGATGGATGGATGGATGGATAGATAGATAGATAGATAGATAATGTAGATATGAAGATGGATATAGGTGCAGAGTTGTAGAGAGGTAGAGATATCCATATCCAGATGTAAAAGTATAGCTCAATTTAGATCTTACATGCATATGTAGTCATTAACAAAAGAGAAATACGAATCCAAAATGCCTTGGTCAGCCAAGATGCCACGGAGGCTCGTTTGTGCTGGGATCTTCCTGGACACAGGGGACGCAAGGTCTAACGGCCTCAAAATTTCACCCACACCCATGTGCAGCTAAGAATATTTGCAGAAAACATTTGGAGGTTTCCATGAAAAATCCCCAAGTCACCATGGGTTTCAATACGAATTCATTGAATTCATGTTCCAATGACTTGGATGTTTTGGGGGTAGCCCTATTTTAAGAAACCCCCATTTGATCATCGCTGGTAATAGGCCAAAAATCGCCATGGCCCATGAGGGGATGGAACATTCAATGGATTGCTTTAAGGGAAAATCTACAGGAAACCATGGTTTTTACCACCAAAGATTGGAGAAAACATTAGGGAAAAATGGTGAATCTGATGTCTCCAAAGGAAGATGATACTATGATAGTAGCTTCAGACTCAAAATTGCCAAATGCTTGCAGGTCTCCGACTCCTGCTGGTCCGGTTGATCATCCTCCTCCGTCTCGCTCTCAGTCTCAGTTGCGGCCACAAGAGATTCCCCAGCGCGCCCAGCTTGATTTCACAGTCCTATATGGAGATGGATCAATGCCTATTCTATTTGGAGGGGGATCCACTCGACATACATGTTCCAAATATTCAATATTTGATGTCTATCCATTTTCCGAATATTTGATATAACAGCAACCGGGGAAAATAATTTGCATATCAATTTTCCAGCTTTTCTTCACTGCAAGCTTTTGACCGCCAAGCCACATCCCAGGAGACGGCCCTTTGTGGCTGCGCTGAGTCCTAAAGGTGCTCCAACAGAGCCCAACTGCGCAACGATTGTTGCCAAAACAGCTGTTGCTGTAAGAAATGTTCCAAAATGTTCCACAGTCACTACCTCTATAGCCACCCAAAAATTGAAAAAATCATGTAAGCAAGATACTAAATATCATGAAAACCGTCATTAAAACCATATTAAAACCATATTTGTGGATTTTCGATATCCAAATATCTCCAAATAATCTGCCCCCACCGGGACCTGGGCCGCTGGTTGGTCGCTGGCATCAGGCTCATCGCAGCGACGCCTCTTGCTGGGAGGCGAGGAATTCTCGGCCTGACGGAAACCAGCTGGAAAACATAGAAAAAAAGAAGGTTAGTAGTGTCGTTTGCATGCATCTATCAATCCATCAATCTATCTATCTAGCTAGCTAGCTAGCAAGCTATCTATTGTCTATCTATTGCCGATCTATTGTCGATCTATTGTCGATCTATCCATCTAGCTAGCCAGCTAGCTAGCCAGCTTGCAAGCTATCTATCTCTAGCTGCCTCTAGCTCTATCTAGTAATCTCTATCTATCTGTCTCTATCTGTCTCTATCTATCTCTATCTATCTCTATATCTGTCTGTCTGTCTGTCTATCTATCTGTCTAATCTAATCTAATCTATATAACCTCATCTCATCTCATCTCACCCAATCTAATACAATTTCATCTACAGAAATCTAATCTATCTTCTAATCTATCTATTGAATCAAGTCTATCTATCGAATCCAATCTATCGATCGAACTTGACCTAATCTACAATCTGATCTAATCCAATCCAATGCAATCAAATCCGATTTAATTAGTCCACAGATCGATACAAGTATCACTACCAATACGTCTACCTACACCCATGTGTCTACCTTTCTGTTAATATGTTTAGGAAATTTTCCCAGCGATACACCTCCACTTAGGTCAGGGATTTCCCTTTGCCAGCCATGTGTTCGTCTCCGTATCCGTGGCCTCCAAGGCTTCTTGCGTCTCCCAGTCCAGGTAGGGATCGGAGTGAGCCACCTCAAATCCAAGTTTGGGTCGCAGAATGTGTGATACATATCCAAACGACCATTTGGAGGTGTCATAGGGGTACCCCCAAATCATCCCATTTTAGCAGGATTTTCCACTATAAATAAATCATCCATTTTTGGTCACCCCCATGTATCGAAACCCCCATTTAAGTCTTCTATTTGAATGACGGAAGTGGACGTCCTCGCTTTTGAATCGGAAATTATGATGATAGAGATTCCAGGGGTCAAAGGATCAGCAACTATGTTTCCTGCGTAGATTCACGGAAGGTCGAACGCGTCTTCATTCTTTGTTGCTGGTGTCCCCGTCACCTTGATGATCAGTGAACTTCCCATTGTATAATCGATCCAATCCAAGTTTTTACGGGTCGTCTCCCAATATTTCTAGGTCAGATTTCCTCGCAGCCTTTCACATCACATTAAATCCACCTTTTTTCAATTTTTTGGCACCTCTGTTGTGTTATTTCTTGTCGCCCGAGCCTCATCTTCGTCCGAGGGCGATTTCTGGCGAGCCACGAAGTGGCAACCGCGAAAGCCAAGGGATCAAGGGGGATCACAGTTTTTGAAATATTAAGAAAATAAATATGAGTCTTGAAGCCACACCCAAATCTTAAAAGTCAAAACTCATAATGAGCGATTTTTTGAAGTAGGGACCCACTTTTTTGGGCCCATGGATCAAACCATCCCAGCACACCTCCGACTTGGTCGGCATAAACATGGCTCATGACCAGATCGGCTTTCTGTCTCCGCTCGACTGCGTTAGAGAGTCTGTCTCTGTGATGGAAAAATACAAAACATCTCCCCGCACCTGTATCAAGTGCATCATAATGATATACACCCCAGAATGCTTGCAGCAATTACGTAAATATGGCAGAATCTTTCAAGTAATTAAGTTCTATGATTAAGTTCTATGATGTTGTAGGAAGTGCTACATGCTACCGTATGGCATTTTCACTGGGCTGCTCATTTGCAGGACCTTCCATTGGGTGATGACTCCGGGGCCATTCTTCTGCCCCGGCTTGTGGCTCCTGTGAACCAAAAACATCTGTCCATAGCCGTTTCTTTTCGCGCAAAGCATGACTGAAAAAAAAAAACATGTCTGAAAGGCTGCATGCATCTAGAAATGCCATATTCATCAGTTCATCTGCCCTCCAGCGGACCAACATAGATAAGGAAAAACTAGCATTTGTAGATCCTTTTCCGAACGGTCAATCCATGGGTTTTTGATATATTCATCACTTTACTCCAGACTTCCACGGGACATGTCTGGTTTGGGGCCCCCTGGCAACATCTTGCTGCAGGCACAGCGGCCAGCAGCCTTTTTGAGAGTCAGTTGGTTGGGCCCCCATTGGGACCGCAAGTGGGTTTATAACTTCAATCACTGGGATTCATCAGCGAAAAATACTATACCCTCTGGTAATGAAATCTGGCTAGCTGGAAAATCCGCTATAGAGGTTTATAGCTGGGGGAATCAGCGAACCAAATGGGCATGTCTTCCAGCAATGCACGTTTGATGCCCGGAGGGTCACTCTTATTACTAGAGTTACAGTAATGGTGTTTATAAACTAACTTATCAGAAGGGGGGGAACCGCCTCGCAGGAGGTGGTAACCAATGGACTGCTCAACTGCTTTCCATCCACCAGTCTGGGTCCACATGAGTTTCGCTGGTGGAATTCTAGACTATATCAGATTTCATATATCGCCCATGTTGCATCTGGTCTTTCACTGTAAAGACCAAACCCAACATATCTAATATGGAATCCGCAACAATAATCCGCCGACCCCGCTTGCAGCAGGGGGAGCGCGTCAGAGGAGAAATTACCAGCAGCAAGGGCCAAGAAGTCATTACAAGCAGCAAGGGCAAGAAGCAAGAAGCAAGAAACAAGAAACAAGAAGCAAGAAACAAGAAACCAGGAAGCAACAAGAAGAAGAAGAAAAGGAAGAAGACGAAGAAGAAGAAGAAGGAGACCGGAGCTGTGCATTACCAGCAGCAAGGGCCAAGAAGTCATTACAAGCAGCAAGGGCAAGAAGCAAGAAACAAGAAACAAGGAGCAAGAAGCAAGAAACAAGAAGCCAGGAAGCAACAAGAAGAAGAAGAAAACGAAGAAGAAGAAGAAGACCGGAGCTGTGCAGGATGAAAGTTGGCAGGCAAAGTCAAGGCTTGGAGCTAGTTTCTAGTCGGTTCAGAAAGTGACGTTTGGCACTCTGGGCTACGGGCCGCAGGCCCGGTCCGTCCTTCACTGCCATGGTGTTTTGGCCCTGCGAGGGGTCCTTGGCCCGGAGCTGTGCAGGATGAAAGTTGGCAGGCAAAGTCTAGGCTTGGAGCTAGTTTCTAGTCGGTTCAGAAAGTGACGTTTGGCACTCTGGGCTACGGGCCGCAGGCCCGGTCCGTCCTTCACTGCCATGGTGTTTTGGCCCTGCGAGGGGGTTCCCGTGGTCGCCGCGGCGTCTCGCATGGCAGGCGTGGCTCTTGGTGACATCCACCTTCACTTTGCGTGGCAGGCGTGGCACTTGGTGACATCCACCTTCGTTTCATGTGGCAGGCATGGCAGTTACGGCACTGGGCGGGCGCTGGTGGCGCAGCGGGTTCCCGTGGTCGCCGCGGCTGTTGGCGTCGACCGTCACTTTGCGTGGCAGGCGTGGCACTTGCGGCACTGGGCTGGCTCTCACACCATCTTTCACACACCGCTTTGTCACACACCATCTTTCACACAGCATCTTTGACACTTTGTCACACACCACTTTGTCACACACCACTTTGTGACACCCCTTTGTCACATACCATCTTTGTCACACACCATCTTTCACACACCACTTTGTCACACACCATCTTTTGCCACACCACTTTGTCACACACCATCTTTCACACACACAACTTTCACACACCATCTTTCACACACCATCTTTCACACCACTTTGTCACACACCATCTTTCACACACCATCTGTCACACACCGTCTTTTACACACACCTTTGTCACACACCATCTTTCACACACAACTTTGTCACATACCATCTTTCACACACCATCTTTCACATCATTTTGTCACACACCATCTTTCACACACCGCTTTGTCGGACACCATCTTTCACAAACCATCTTTCATCAATCCAGCAGCCACGTTCTGCCAGAGAGCGTGGCAAGGCTCCCGGCTGCACAGCACCGCCGGGGCGTTTGGAGTGCACGAATCAGACCGTCTGTGTCCCCGGCCCTCAAAAGCTCTTTTAGCTTTTGAGGCCCCCCGCAGGCCCTTGCCAGCAGGGACAGCACGGTCGTCGCCACATCACGCACCGGCCGCTTCTCACCGAAGCGGCTATGCTCCTGAAGCAAAAATTTCTGCACAGAAGGCCCATATGCCTGCCCGGCTGCCCGGGACAGGCATAGGTTGGCCTGCGGAAAAAAAACACGCCCTAGCGTGGGGTTTTCCTGCCCCAACCAGGCAGGAATGCACGGGAGCTGGGAGAATGCCCGGGTTCCCGGGTCAAACTCCCAGTCCTGCTGCAGCAGCTGTGCTACCTGGGCAGTCAGCTTTGGCGAACGCCGCCTGAACCCCGCTTCAGTCCAGGCATCTAGCGTCGCCTTCTCCACCGCTGCTGCCTGGCCGAAGATGGTTACTTCTGCCTGCAGACGACACTTTCTCTCCGTAGTACTAAACAGGGCTCTATAGAGCCCGGTCTGTATATATATATATATGCAACTGACCTCTCCTATATATACTCCCATGTCCCCGCGTCTCCTGCGCGCAACTCATGTGCCAGTGTATGATATCTGACCGGTGCGATAAACACGCAAACGCTGGAAACTTTGGCCCATAAACTCTGGAAACAAAAAACCCAAACAAGAGAAACCCAACCAAATCTTTATTTTTCTGTGGTTTATCTGAAGCCACCAGTTTGCATGCGCTGAAGGGTTTGGTTGTCTCTGTTTGAGGGTTTTTGTCCGAGTTTGTTCTTTGAAGAAATCCTGTCATCAAAAATTTTAAGTCAATGTTTTTAACACAATATATGTGATCTTGACAAGTTGTTTCTCACTTTCACCACCAGAATATCTTGAGGACTCAATGTTGTAGCAACTCTGGATTAAGGGTGGAGGGCGGGTTCCATAAAACTTTGGAACGGCAGAAAGCTGTCCCTCCCAAAACCCACCCGTTTTCTGAGGGTAGGGGGTGAAAATTCCGACCAGCTGGAATGTTGAAACAATGACATGGGCGTGATCCACCAATAGCCAGAATGGTCGGACCGTTTTGAGAAACTTGTCAGATCCTGTGCGATCGTCCTCAACGAGACATATTTTCCCCGGATTCCTTGCAGACGCAAGGGCTTTGACCGAGAAAAGGATTGCAGTGCGAGTGTTCCACCTTTCTGCACCATTTGTTTACTGGTGGCTGTCGTTTTTGCATTATTTCCATATCTGTTTATTTGATGTGACATTCACGAAGTTTTTGTGCGACGTGAAGCAACGGTGGCAGGCGTTTTCGAGCGGTTTGGGGTCTCTATCGTTTCCAGTGTTTTGGCCGGTTATAGATATCATAACGGGGTGTTTATAGTTTGGGAGTATACGGTTGTTTTAATTTGGTTTGGTCTCGCATATAATACAGACTTTTGTACATATGGGAGAACTTGCTCTCAGGGTCTCTTCACGGAATCAATCGAACGGGAAAGCCGACATTTTGTTCTACCTATGTTGTTCTACATCATTATCCCCAACATCAACATCTTCCTCCTCATCGTTCTCGACATCATCATCCTCTCTCCCCCCTTTCACATCATCATCCTCAACATCATCATCCTCCACTTCCTCTTCCGCGACATCATCCGCCCCCGCCTCATCTAGCGCAACATTATCATGGGGCATGTGGTCATCACCTTCCTCAACACACCCATCCTCAACATCACCATCTTCCTCCTTCTTAACAGCATCCTCCTCCGCCTCATCGTCCTCAATTTCATCCTCCGCACTATCAACCTCATCCTCATCGTCCTCAATATCATCATTCTGCACATCACTATCTTCCACCTCATCTTCTGCAACATCATCCTCGCGCAACATCATCCCCCTCCGCCACATCTTCCGCAACATTATCATGCTCGACATCGTCGTCCGCGACATTTTCATCTTCATTCTCATCCTAATCATCATCATCATCATCATCATCATCATCATTCACATTTTCATACATGCTTACGCAAATATGCCACCTCCGTGCAATCAACTAAAAGGACAAAACATAGCACGTAAACATAAAGTATTTCATACGTACCTCCAATCATAGCATGACTTCGATTCAGGTTGCGCCTCGACCTTCTTCGGCGCGTCAAGGGCTGCATGGCAGCCGTGCGCCAAGAAGAAGAAGGTCCGAAGGGCGTCGCTGTCGAGGGGACCCTCATTGTCCCACAACGACAGCGCGGCTTGGTCCTTAGAAGCGTTGCTGTTCAGTTCACGACAGACGTGGAATTTTAGATCAGCATAGACTAGATGTTGGAGAACAAATGCATAAGAGACGGAACTGTCCTGCCGAATCGTGGTGTCCTCCTTGAGGCGCGGGGTCGGCACCCGGAGGGCAAAGCGGTGGAAGTCCGCGATGGGTGTCGCAGTCACACTCGGCAGCGCGGCTTCCAGCTCCTGATGCCGCAGCGCCGTTTACTCCACTCTTTCAAATCTGACAGAATTGTACATCGGCCTTTCAGGCATGTTTGTTTGTTCGGGTCGGGTGGCCGGCCTCCTTCGCTTTGTCATACTCGGGGAAGTGCCGCCCATTCGGCGTGCTTTCCACCAAGCGGACCAGGAAGCCCTCCTGCAAATGGGCAAAATAGTGAATCGTGCCCCGTGGAATTTATTCCATTGCAGCGTTTGTCATTCTATATGTGTTTTAAAGGTCGGACTAGGAGACAAGGATGGTGAACCTTTCTAGTTTGTAGAGGGTAAAGCATCTGCGTACATAATATAAGCACGTCGGCTTTTACCCATTATGGCCCGAGATCTTCCGGCAACCCGCGGAATATAATCCGTGCTTTCATAAATCTTTCACATCACGTGCGGCTGTGCATCTCGAGTGGTCCTCTGCAACGGCCACCCCGTCGCCATCCATGTCCCCATCACCCAGGTCGAGGATGCCCGCACCTTTCAAGGCCAGCGAAAGGCGCCGAACAAATATACTTACTGAACAGGGCGCCCTTACAAGCAAACGCTAGCCGTCCGACTCAAAGTCTAACCAAAATTGGAAAGCATGCTGTTCGGGGTTTGAAGGTTCGGAAACTCCCTGACTGGGCTGGCTGATTGCGTCTTTGTCGGCCCTGCCTTTCCGCGTGCAGAACACGCCGTTCTGCACGGGACAGCGCACTCCAGGTGGCAACGGCTTGGCTGTCCAAACTTGGACGTCGTCCGGTAGGAGGACCGGAAAGCGCCACACCGCCACCTGCAAGGATTCATCGCAAGGGCGTGTGTGCTCTATTTCTGGTGATCCATCTTATTTCGAAATGCCGGAGCTTTATTTTCTGATGACAACGAGATTAACGAGATGTCTTTGGAGAACAAACATTGACATGAGGTTTGAGCGCGCTTTGTGAACCAGAAGAACATTGTACAGCAAGTTTTTGACCGTCTACTTCCTTTTTGCTTGCAAAGAACTCTGGTTGTTCACGTTTGGATGAGAACGCGGATTATTTGAGAACCTTTCTTTGGAGGTAGATCAAACATGTTTTGATGACTGGATTTGCGACTCAGCGCCATGTGACTCCCAAGTAACCCCAAGTGCCTTGCCGACGAATGCCTTGCCATCTCGGACAACATGGCATTCTTTGTCGTCCAAAGTCGCCCAAAGGTCCGACAGAGCCTTCGCCTGGAAGGAAAAACCTTCAAGCGGCGCTTCGGGCTTCTGTTCTGCTGCGGCTAAGGCAGCGCCAAGCCGTTGGCTGCCGCGCAGAACAGAATCCCGGGTGCCCCATCGCAGGCAGTGGGGCACCGGCTCTGGCCGTGAGCGCTGGGTGGCCAATGGCAGGGGGGAGGGTACAGGCACGACTTCCTGAAAGTCGAGCCTGATGTCCTCTGCGGGGACCCGCCCTGCACGGAATTTGGGGTCATCCTCGCATCGGCACCGGTGTGCGAACATGCATGTGAATGCAACATAAGGCAATGTGGTTTTTATACGGTTTCATTTTAATAGCTTCTCCAATCACAATCAATTTCCGTCCTCCACGTGGAGGCCCCACGCCTCGCGCACATACTGCTCCCCCGCAGCAGCGCGCTTCGACTCCAGCCATGCCAGAAAGCGCCGCTTGGCCACAGCGCGCTCGGCCGGATCCGGGACCATGGCGACGCGCTTGGCCAGGCACGCCAGCAGTTGAGTGCCGAGCACTGGAATGCCCATGGCCTCAGAAAGGTATGCATATGCCGGGAATGGTATCCAATCACGCACACAGCCACACATACGGTTCGCAGGGAAGGTCGAGAAAAAGAGAGACGCATTCAGTTTCTAGAGCAACAAAACATGGGTTGATGTGCATGAGCAGTAGCAGAGGCACCGTTGTGGAGTCCCGGACGACTTCCAAGCCAATCTGGCTTTGGGGCGTCCGGGCCAGGCTCACTTTGGCACAGCTTGGCCCGGAGCTGTGCAGGATGAAAGTTGGCGGGCAAAGTCAAGGCTTGGAGCTAGTTTCTGGTCGGTTCAGAAAGTGACGTTTGGCACTTCGCGGGCCCGATCCGTCCTTCG